ATAAAAATGCAATCTGTACACATACATAATGCAAATAGTGACAAAAATCTGTCAAATCCTTCTGCATTTGGGTTTTCTGTATTTTTAATTTGGACATTGTCAGACACTAACAATAACAGAATGTCCAAACACATTTCCCCTCATACAGCATTAAACTGAGCTCTCTTTGTAGAAATATTTCCCTTTGCTTGCATAACTTTACATCTGATGAGAGAATAACTTTATTTAATTGATACAGCCATAATTTTAGTGAATCTTACTGGTCTGCTGTGGATGAGGAATACATGCCATTTAATGGGTTGCACAGGTAGCCAAAGCAATTCATTATCTGTAGATAATCAGATTATTTACTGAGCCATATGGACTTATTTCCCTCTTAATGTGACCTGAAATAAACCAGACCATAGTAAATAGAAACATAAGTGAGGAATTCACTCTTTCAGGCTTCGAAGGTGGATGTCTAGATGGGATTTAATCTCAGATTTCAACTCCAGCAAGAATTCTGACAATAGAATAATTTCCTTTCTGCTTAAATTGCAAAAGGACTTCCTGCAAAATAAGCTTCGTTATCTGCATATAAATATTTAAGTTGAAGGAAAGCTCTACTATAATGTGCTACCAAAAGCTGACTAATTTGATGTGTTCTTGTGAAACATTTGGGGTGTGTCTAAACAACCTCTCCTGATATCCATCAGTTTGGTTAAAGAGCTTGCAGCCTCCCCCTGCTTCAGTAATGGAGTCCCCTCTAAGGTAAATAGTTCCCCATAAATGAGATATGAGACCTTCTTCTATAGTATTCTTTCTAGTGCTTCTAATGAAATCATTTGGCATAGGATTCTTACACAGGCAAGATTTCCATCTCCATTTCTTTTAAAGCTGATTGAGAGGATATTTGCATAAAATTATGAATTGCATTCTCTTCTTTTGAGAGTCTAGTATAAAACTGGCCATACCACAGAATGGGAAGAGCTGACTCACTGCTCTAATTATAAATCTAAAGACTAATTAACCTTCCATGACTAAATTAAATTCCAAAATAAAAAGGACTGACAGAAGCCTTTAAACCAAGATTGAAGCCCACTGGAATATAAAGTACAAAATATATTCAGGAGGCAGTTTTTGAATTTGACATTGATGAAGATATTCTGTATTTGCAAATGGTACATGCAATACTAGTTTGGAAAACAGGCATTCAGAGTTTAACAACTGGGCCAAACAGTCACAGAGAAAACGTAGTACTGCAAGTAGCTGTGTAAATTTATAACAAAATTCTTTCCTGCAGCATTGTATCAGATCAAGATTTGTTTGTTCATTATTTAAAATCAAAAACATTAATCCTATTTTTATTTGTCCACAGAATACATGATTTCTGGCAACTTTTTCTTTTCCAAGTTAAACAAAACTGCCTTGTATAATTGACAACATCTTTGTGGACTGGAAATTCCGTTTCCCTCACAGAATTCCATTTCCCTTACTGGAGCTGAATCAGCTTCACAAGTCCAAATGACAATAAAATTTTCCATCTGTTCAAAAAACCAAATAGACCCGATTCTGAATGGATGAATAGATGACAGTTTGCTGCATTATTTTATTTGTTTCTATTCCAATAGAACCTTAATTTTAGATTTTGGTATGTCTTTGAAATAAGGTCATGAATAAATTAATAATGGGTTGAACAATTCATTCCTTCGTCTTCTCTCCAAGTTTTTATTCCAAGTGATTAAGACTGGGTAAGCACCAAAGATTTAATTTATAGCCACAATCTCTGTCCTCAATTACTTTAAGTGGATGTTCTGCATTATTTCTCTTGATATTTGGTTATATGACTGCTAGACACCATAGATTTTGCCAGTAACTAGTGCATGTGAGAAAAAAAAATAAATGGACTCACATTCATGTTGTTAATGTATGCGAGTCGAACATTAAGAGGAAAGTATCAAATATTAACTTGCTGATCTGAATTCTGAATCAATACGAAACTTTTGTTTAAGGTATTATAATGGCTATAAAGTACCAAGTTCTGCTGTAGTGATTTGCCTCAAATATGTGATTCTGCTTTCCCTGGATAATTAATCAAAAGAAAATGTTCAAGATTGTTGTTATAACTGTGTTGCATGAGACTGTGCTGTTGATTTCTTCTGAAATGCTGAAGGATCCTATAAAAAAAATAATCTTTCAATAAAATGTGTCAAAATCAGATACTTTATTCAGAGAGAGGTTATTTAAGGTTATTGATAAAATTAATCTAGACAACAGAATGTCTGCAACTGAATACTTACTTGTCATAGACATATACTTACTGTCATAGCCATTACCCTGTAAAAGGTTGACAGTGGGTATTTTTCAGCTGAGCTTAGGACTTCAGTAGCCTCATTTTGGAAGCTATTAATTACTTCAGCGTCAGTATTAATCTACTGTGCTGCTCAATATCTCTGGAAGTCAAGCTAATAATAAAAATAAATGCATTGTTATATAAGAATAATTGTTATTAATATTATTACTTAAGAACACAGTCATCTGTTGCTTCAGTGTATCATTAAGCCCTGCTGAGTTAATTAAGCTATTATTCTTAATATTGAAAAAAAAATCCATGTTCTGTTTCCATGGGGTTTTTATTAGAAATTATTCCTTAAAAATACTGTTTTAAGAATGAAAATGAATAGAAAAATTCTGATATTAAGTATCAACACAGTTAATAGATACATTATTAATACATTTATGTAGGTTGAAAGATATCACTACAGTAATGTCTAATTAGAATGGAAAGCCCAATTAAAACAGAGATGCCCCTGAACATTAGTTTGGCGAATTTAATTTTTTGTGTGATACTTGATATTTAAATAAGTTTTGCATTCATGATATACAGACTGAGCAAAATACTTTCTTTCTTTACTTACAATTCTTCCCCACAGCATATTTACTTTTATGGAAAATTTGGTTGCAATGTTGTTACATGCCAAGCATTTTGGAGAATATGAGCCATAGTATTTCCAAATGGTGATAGTCTGCTTTGAGCCAAACACAAAGTACTTGCCTGGTTCAGAGGACACTGTAGTGGAGATGTAAAGAGAGAGTACAATACCAGTAAATGGGATTATATAAGTAGCTAGCCAAATTAATGACAAGGGATGCAGTCTTCCACTTCTTAATATGAATCAGGTACAATGGGCACTGCAGATCCAATCTAATTAATTACTGATTTGGCTCTAAATAAGAAGAGGATTTTTCTCTTAACCTCAGTCTTATATTTGCCAGACTAGGCAAGAATTTTCTCTATAAAGAAAAAACAAAACCAGAATTCTCATTGCTTGATTAGGCAAAAAGTATGTAAAAGTGATTCTGAGCTTTTTCTTTTCTTAGATTGTCATCTGGATGGTGAAAAAGTTTGGGCCAAATAATGCTCACAGTTCAAGAGAGTTCTGTATTTGTTCTGCATTTACACAATGGTAGTTTTCTGCAAAACGTTTAATTTTAAATATATTCATATTTTGGAGAATCCTTCACTATTCTTGCTAGGCAAAGGATCAATTTTAGGTGGTTTTTTTTTAGCAATTTTTAGCAATTTTAAATTACATTTGTTCATCTGTATATTTGCAATGAATGTATTATTTTAATGAATTATAATGTTGATTTCAATTGAAATTCAGTGATATAAATGAATGATAATAGATTGAAGGATTAAAATATCTTTATTGTAAAAAAAAAATAATTAAGCAAACAGCACATCCACTTGAAGGACATCCAATTTTAAGAAACAAGTAAAAGTTTTCCTGCAAGGAGTTGGGAATTTGACTATTTATGACTATGTTTTCATATACGTATATATGACTGTTTAACAAAAACAGTTCAGATTTTGCCTACTGACTATATGATATTGGAAGAATGCAGAAAAATATACATATCACATTATTTTAATTATATCAGGAATGATTTTCATTGTAGGATAGACAAATAATTGACTAAGTTTCAACAACTTACTCAAATTGTCATATATGTCAACCGTCGAGAGCGGAATAAGCAAGCAAAATGAACCTGAAACACATTTGTTACATTTCTTCTGCCAGCTCTGAACTAGACGTACTTTGTGTGTGTTCAGGCCGTAAATCTGCAAAAAGAATGTTGTATAGAGATTGCAGGTTGGATCCAGAGTAATTCTGTGTACTCAGACCAGTTAGTTACTGGCCTTTTCTTGGAATGTGTCATTCTCTCTAGAATAATGTGTTTTTTGGGGAAATTAAGAGATATTCAGATCTCATTTGCGTCTAGGAGATTATAGAAGAGGTGTGAAATAATACCAGAAATACTGTGATGATTACATAGCTAACAATTACACCAAAATAAATGCAGCTCAGTGATACCCTTCTCATTCACTGTGTTTTTTCTTGTATCTGCACCATGGCTTCTGTAAGACTGAGTTCAGCCTGAAGCACTGAGCTGGTTTCATTCTCAGTCAATGCATTTTTGTAGAGGGTTTCTTTGGTTTGGTTTTTTATTTTGTCTTGCAGAGTTTTTTGACTGCCTGTTTCTGACAATGAGGAAGGGAAAGCAGGTGTCTCTATGTCATGTCATTTCATTTACTAGGAAAGATAAATGTGTGCTTGGCTTTAGCTTTTCATTGTTGTATCTAAAGTTTTCATTCAGGAAAGTTGTTAGGTAGTGTTTAGAGAATGCCTGTGAAGGACTCTTTCCATGATCTTTTCATTTGTACAGAAAACTGAAAGGACGGTATTTTGCTTCCTACCTCATGATTCACTTATTTTGTTTACAAAGGGATATTCAGTATTGCAATAACAATGGATATTCCAGCCTGAAAGTCTTTTGCATTGGATTTAACACACCTGAATTGTATCAGAGGAAAGCTCAGAGGGAGAAATCAAGCAAGTGGCTCCAGTTAAGCATTAGTTCCTCCTTAGTAAGAAAGGGGAGGATGCTAGGCTTTTTAGAAAACAAACCAAAAAGAAGCTTCACTTAGTCTAGAGCACTCAGGAGGAACAGTAGAGAAAGGAACAAAACAAAAAAGATGAAGGTGATTTTGTATTAAAAAGAAAAAATGCCATAGAGGAGAAAGTCTTGCTTAACACAAGCTGTATGTAGTCAGATTTGCCTTCCTGGAAGTCACTTCATCTGCTGGAGAGGTAAGAAAGCTTAAGTGAAGGTTTTTTGAGAATATTTGGTACTGGTTATTAATTGGAGTTTTTTCTCTGGTTTCTGTTTAGAAGTATTGTTCTGATCAACTTGCTTATATCAAACTGTAGGTTGACTCCAGCTGCATGTGAACATAGAACTGAAGCTGTTAAAGCAGTAGTGTTATAGGGAAGATCTGTCTTTGGTGGTTTTTTGGTTTTGGATAGGAAAAAGAATGTAGGTTAGGTGAAATATCTGGCCTGAGATTTAACTAAAGTGGTAGATGGTTAATGGGAAAGGGCTCCTGAGTACTGTGCATTCACTACACTTCCCTGCATTGTGAGTGTATAAGAAACTGAGATTTTTGTTCACTTTTGCTGTGAGGGAAAAAATCTTGAAAGGTTAGGCTCCACAGCTGAAATTCAGTTGTACTTTTCATTAAAGCAGAAAGCCCAGAGCTTTGCTTTCATAAGTCCTTAATAACAGTTATTACAAGTCTTCAATATCTATTCCAGCAGTAGCTACCTGTGACTTGTACCAGTTTTCATACTTTTTTTATACATATGCTGCTTTTCCTGGTTGTCATGGTTTAAACTCTGCCAGCCATGCAGTCTCGCTCGCTCACTAACCCCACTTCTTCCCTCCCTCCCACTCCCGGAGGGTTGGGGAGGAGAATCGAAAGAATGTAATTCCCACGGGTTGAGATGAGAACAGTCCAGTAACTAAGGTATAACACAAATCACTACTGCTACCACCAATAATAATAATGATAAGGGAAATAACAAGGGAAGAGAATACAATACCACCCACCGACCGAGCAGTGAGTGCCCTTCAAGGTAACTCCCAGTTACAACCCGGGCATGACGTGCTGTGGTATGGAATACCTCTTTGGCTAGTTTCGATCAGGTGTCCTGTGTCTGTTTCCTCCCAGCTTCCCCTCCTCCCTGGCAGAGCATGAGACTCAAAAAGTCCTTGGTCAGACTAAACATTTGAGCAGTAACTGAAAACATGGGTGTTATCAGCGCTGTTCCCAGGCTGAAAGACAAAATCACAGCTCTGCACCAGCTACTAAGAAGGAGAAAAAAATGATTGCTACTGCTGAACCTAGGACACTGGTGTAAACAATAAGTATCTTCTTTAGGGAGAATTAGGCTTGGTTTGGTTTTCATGGTTGATTTTTATTGGGCTTGTATGAACTGACAACAAGCCTTAGTAGTAGTTCAGAGAGAACATTGTTATTGTTTTACTGCTGAAGAATATATTCTCATTTGTAGTTTATCAGTGCAATGACTGTTTATTTGCAGTTTTTAAGTAAAATTTATACTTTCTATGTTGTGCTTAAATGAGCTATAGTACAGACTTATGGAGAAAGTCTCTTTGGACTTTTATTTTCTCAGGATATTTAAAAAAAAAAAACAACAAAACAACAAACCCACACCCCCCTAAAAAAAAAAAAAAAAAAAAAAACCCCAACAAACCAACCAACCAAAACCCACCAAAAAAAAAAAAAACAAAAACAACAACAAAAAAGCATTTGTTTGCGTTGTTTTAGTGATCCAGAAGAAAACTAATTACTGGACCTCAAAACTGCTTTTGTGCCAAGCTTTAAGGACAAGCCTTTAAAAACCCCTACTGTGTCCCCATCAAGGGATTCATTCCACCATCTCCCCCATTCTCTCTAGTGTAAACTGTTGCTGTCAGCTGCAGCGGATCAGTGCTACCACAGATTTTTGAACCAGCTGTACCTGGTGTGCACCCTCTGAGCTGTATCAGTGTTCTGCAGGATGAGTACAAGCACGTAGTGTGTTGTGGTCTCTACTACATGGAGCCAGTGGTGTGTATTTTCTCCCAGTAAATTGTTGTCTACAATAGCAACTCGTTGTGCAAGCTTTCATGCATCAGAGAGAGACAGGAAGGTGAAATATCCAACAAAGCATCAATAAGATTAAAAATATTCCTTCACAGAAGTTTTGCAATTCGGCTCTCGACAGTATACTTTCTAAGAGTGCTGTCATCCTTACTATCTTATTTTGTTCAAATAACTCTCAGTTCAATAAACTTTAATTCTAATTTACTTTTAAATGATTGTACATTGCTTCTGCACATCTCCTGCTTCCACAGATAATACTTGAACTTGTCAAGCTAGCTTGCTTTGAACTCTTTGCTGAATTCTTTTCCATAACGTGTCATCTGCTCTTGAAGATGCTCTTCAGTCTTTGCTAGCAGTTACATTGATGACTTAACAGTTAGCAGAAGCTGTAAATTATCTCATGGGCAGAGTAATGGTTTGTTTCTGAGGAAGAAAACACAATTGTTTGCTGAATAGCAAGAGATCCTGCAGAGCAGAATTCTTGGTTAACTAATCTGTTATCCATGAGCATTGTGTCTTCAAGTGTCTAATCTAGTTATCTTATTTCTGTATTTTGTGTCCTGTATACTGTACAGGATCTGAAATTTTTTAGTACAGAGCATAGAATCCTACTATTGGAAAAAAACAAAAGAGTTCTGAATATGCACTGTCAAAGTTTCTATGCCTTTACTAGAGTTTAGGCTAGGTCAGTCTCTGCACTAGATGTGAAAACATTACCTCATCACTGAAAAGTGCTCTGTAGAGAATGTCTGTAAATGTGTATTGGTTGTCAAGGTTGTACAGCAGCTTTATTCCTCTCAGTTCTGTAGTTTCTAAACTATGGCTGAAGGTGGCCAGAGCATGCTGTGTATCAATAAGCTTTGCTCGTAACCTGTTAAGTGACGTCTTCCCATTTGGTAAGATTATGGGATTACGAAGATGCTAATTTCTCAGAAACAGCCTTCCCTCAGCAGGGCTGAGAAAAGCACTTTGACTCAAACGCTGCTTCTTAAAAGGGGTCACTGTGTGTAAGAATGTTTTTGCACTAAGTGTAGCTGACAGGAGATAGTAAGACTTAATTGACTTTTAAATACTTAGCTGCAAAAAATAAACGAGCTCTACATGTGAGACTTCCCCTTGCCCTTCCCCCCCCCCCTTTTAAAATAACAGTTAGGAATCAGATATTTGGGGATTGGGGAGTCAAAACATCACCCTGCAAGAAACTGTTTTTCTGCTTTATACCCTGAAACAATCACTGCTTTCTTCTGAAACTTAGTGTAACTGGAAAAAAATAGCACCTTAAAGGTTTCCATTCTCTCTGCCATTGCTTTAGATTGTTTAAAACAGTTCTTAAATTTAGAACATGCAAATATAAAGACATGTATTTGAAATATTCACAATGAATTTGCTTTGTTTGTTTGTTTTTACTTTTTCTACCAAAGGAAATCAGGGTAGTAGCAGAATGGTATTTTAATAATTCATAGACAGACTCTTTTAAGTTGTGGTGCTGGACTGGAAATTCTGAATGTCTTCCTTATTTGTGTGTAAGAGTGAGCAGAGTATCTGAGAATCCAGTGAGGTGCTCCGGTGCTGCTCTGAGGAACATGTGGAATGGTAGTGTTGTCTGTTCAGCAGCTTCTTTGCAAATAGTTCAGAATGATGTGAAGATCAGAAGCTACCGTGAAATCGTCGCTTTGTCTTTTACATCCAACATGTATCTATGTTTTATCTACTTTGTTATAAAATAAGATTTTTTTCTTTCCTCTTTTTCCCTTCTACTACCAGTGCTTCAGAAGCCACTGGGATGATGCAAGACAGTAAGCAGGAGTCTAACTTGCTGCTACAAACAAATCATCCAAAGTATCACAGAAATCTCAACTGTTTACTTCATGTGCCCATGCTAAAAGATGATCGCTTGGAGTTTTTTAGCTCTTGCCCTGCTTGAAAATCTTAGCAATTTTTTTTAAAAAACGCTGGGGGGGGGGGTGCTGAGAAAATTTCACATAGTATAAAAATTAGTAATGCCGCCTTTCATGTCAAGAACACAACACTGAAATGTTTCGCAGGCATTTTGAGTGGCTCTTTCTTCTTAAAGGGTCATAAAGTAGGTGGTGGAGGCAGAGGAATCTCTGGTTTGGGTTTTCTTTGTTGTTATGGGCTTCTAGTTTTTTTAGTATGGGGGTTTTTGTGGGTTTTCTTGGTTTGGGGGTTTTGGGGGGGTTTGTTGGTGGTGCTTTTTATGGGTGATTTTGAGGAAAGGGGTTTAAATGTTTTGGAAAAATGTTATAATCCAATATCATGGGGCTGAATCTGCAGAACTTGGAGGGAGAAACATCATAGACTCCTAGTGTTACTCTTGGAGTTAGCTGTAATTCCTACTTCTTGCTCATGACATGATTCCTTTCATGATATCCTCTGCATAAAAAATGTTTGCTGAAGTGGTGTTATTTTCTCCTTTCTGGTTGATCATCTGACTGCTGTTCTCATATTTCTGGTTTTATGGTTAAAAGTTTCTTCAACCAATGAAGTTACTTTTGCTACCTAACTTTGCAGACTTCACTGGACAAGGACCTGCACATCTCCTGTTTGTGGTCTGGTTTTGTAACACCTTTGCTCCTTGCTAGTATTGCTCAGTGCTCCTGCACATGCTTTTAAAAGCTAATCCAAGGAGGGTAAGATCAGAGGAAAAAATACAGTCTCACCCTTAGCAGTATGAAAGGAAACTGTATTACAGATGTCAGAAGCAAAACAATATAAGGGGACCTGGATAACATTTACAAGAGGGGTCTTCTCAGGTTCTGCCATGCTGTGAGCAGACTAACATTTACATCAGTTTCTTCCTAAATAAAATTGGGTGACTTTGCTTTTCTATCTTAATGCACTCCTACAACATTGCTTATAATTAATATTGCCAGATAATAGGGGTTGCTGGTTCAAAATATTGCTCTCTTTTCTTCTAGACATTGAGTCATTCGTTTATAATTATTTCCTGTTCTTCAAAGTCTTGCATGAAACACAGACTAAAATTGTTTATTCAGTCATTTGCAAGGCATTGTTTTTCACTAGGAGCTGGAGTTTTCTCTATGGCTACAGTAACTACCCAAATGTGAATTTAAGTGAACTAATATTCTTATAAAGTCAAGGTCTGGTTAGAGTATTAAA